CGACCGCTGGAACAAGAATTCATGTTAAATCGGCAGGAGATGAAAGCCAGGTCTGTGAAATGCAGCTTCTGCCTAATGCCTGCCACAACCAACCTCCACAGGTGGAGTTCACCGACGTGCCAACTACGTCATTGCTTTTCCAGGCAATACAATCTACTTGCTCATGTGTTATGTTCTTAAAAATTTTACCTGCGTACCTCGTTAGCAGTAATGAAGCAGCTAGAGACAAAAAGGGAGGGGGGGTTTAATACATTTTCCCGTCAATTGACTGTCCCGTGACATTGGGTTACATGCCTAAACCCGCACTTCATGCCGGCTGAAAAGATGATGGAAATGCAACAGGTCGTCAAGTTTGGTCGTGCTCGCGGACAGTCAGAAGACGCATGAACAATCCCAGCTGGAGAAGAATCACAGTACTGCAGTATTGCATGACTCAATTCCGCATATTCTTAAATTGCCCCTAAAGTGAACCACGTGGTGGAAGCGCTGGACCGACACACGGGGACTAGATGAAGGCACGAAAGGGACGCCTAGGTGCATGCTCACGCCGTGTGAGTCCAATCCACGGGTGAGCGGCTGGAACCGATGTTTGGGAGACAGAAAAATACGATGGATTTTTAAAATATCACGCTGCGCTTAAAGTCGGGGCTGCCAACCAAAGCCAACCGACCAATTCGGTTTTCCCTTGAGGATGGAAGGGGAGACTGTAATGGTCCCTTTTTTATGTATTGTCTGCGGCCTTGCCACCCCTGTTGCAGGGAAATCATTCCGGATGCCGATAGACATTTACGGTGCCTGTATTTCCTAACCTCCTCCTGGTCGGTGAAGGAGAGCGTCCTGTGGAAAACGCAACGTGCCACTAATCACCTAATTGAGCGGATTAGCTGAGGGGGAAAGTTACTTCAACGCAATTAGATTGGCTTTCGAGACGGACAAATGACTCCTTCGAGGTGGGCTGAAGTACAGGTGGCCTGGTACAGACGCCAACGCCTGAAGGGTAGAAATCCATAAAGGAAACTTCTACTGCCAACTCCGGTTGGCATGAAGTAACCCTGTTCCGTGTGAATACACGCGATAGGCAGATGCCTTTTACCATCAACGCGTTACAACCCACTGGAAAAGTATGTGTTAGGATGTGGATGAAGACCTCATAGTATTTTTTCCCTAAAGGATCGACCTATTATGTAGTGATAGCATGACTACTAGCACAACTTTCTAGTAGTCTTTCCTTGGAAGGCTTTGAACTGGTTGGACAAGCAGATCGTGCTCCCGTGGACAAGGCTTACGATGTAACGGTTCCTTTCCAAGGTGGCCTTCGCGGCAACCGTTTGATGAGAGATCGGGGACTCCCGGGAGGTAATACATGTGGGTGGCACGAGCAGCTAGGTTACTCAGCTTCTTTGGCGAGTTTAAGACTTCGCAACATTTTATGAGAACTATGTGACTTCTTCCTCAAACTGTAGGCGAAAAAGTACTTTTCTTTAAACAGGATGAACACAGTGCGCAGTTTGTAAACCTTGAATTCTAGTGTGGCGGTCAGTAGGTTTCAAAATTATTCGGCAACTTAGGAATTTTTTTAAAACCGAAAAATACCCTTTGTTTAAATGTAACATTTAAAGAAGGCGCGATTGTCTACCAAACGAGTACAAGAAATAATCTTTTTCGTGCATCTTTTCCATAAAATATATTTGAATTTAAAAAGGCAGTCAAAACCAATGATAAAAACGCATACCATTTAGGTGGTTAATTTTTATAGCCCATGCGTTTTGTAAGTGTTCAGAACGAAGCACGTTCAAAAGCTCGCATCCTATCATGACTGAAATAACTGCAGAATAGGCTACAGAATACTAAATATCGCAACCTGAGTCAATGCCGATTAGCGAGAGAGTATAAATCTTTCGCATATGTCGGCATGCTCCTTTAAAAGCCTTCCATCGATGGTGACATCACAACATCCTCGCGGAAGGCTTTCCATTAGCTGACCAATCTGGCAAAGAAGAACTTGCACACATTCAGCCTTGCCTGCTGAACGTGTAATATTAACGGGGGTGACCTTAGAGATTGGTCGAAGTATGTAGTTTGAGTGGATGTCTCCGCAAGCTAGTGGTAGTGGCCAGCTCAAAGAAATCGCTGGAGGCTAGTCAACAATCCTGAACCCGCAGCGTGCGAAATGTCTGTATTAGGTCGCCGCGTACCTCTCTGTAATCCAGCGAAAGCAAGTCAAAATTGGACAAGCGTGTCTCGTACGGCAGGCACCCTTGGCTTGGTTGCGCGTCGTTGAACCTTTTGAGAGGTATTTTTGTCTTTAACCGTCCACGGTTTCCAGGTTTAGATGGCATAATCTAACCCATAACACACGAACAGCCTAACCTGTGTCCTTGACATGACGACCTGTCAGTCTGAAGCGGATGAAAGGCTCGAGACAACAACAGCGAATCCAGTTAGTATAGATGATTGATCGGTGTTCTACTATTGCCTACTTCCCACCCTACCCTGATGGAAAAAAAAACTCGGAATCAGATTAAAATATGCCGCTTCAATTGCGAAAATTAAATCACGAGGCTCGCTCAACCTTCTTAATTGGCGATCCAACACCGTAGACAATGGTGCAGTGACCCATAAGTGGCTCGAATACGCCCGATCAATGCCAGCGGCGTGAGGGTGGATGACTTAGACAAATTCTGCTTCGATTCATCGCTCCGCTCCATCCCTCCCAGCAGCTGAAAAAACGCCACAAGCGTGAGAGAAGGGGAGAGTTAACGCCTGCCTATTTGCGAGGAATACTTCAGCAGGCGTCTCCTGCTGCTGCTGCTGCTGCTGCTGCTGTTGCTGCTGCTGCTGCTGCTGCTGC